AGACTTTCCCAGATGGAGGGCGGCTCTTTTTCAAAGTGTGGCTCCCGCCTCAGCGCCGCGAACATTCGTCTTAAGTGGCAACAGTTTCAAGGATTCTCATGGTTAACGGCCCACCATTGGTCTTGGCGCGACGTAGGAATGTCAGGGCGCAGAGGTCACATGGATTCGCAGAGTGGAGTCTCAAGAACGATGATCTGGCACGGTTCAGGATCGTCAAGACGCATAAGTAACGGAGATCCGCGGGATTGAAATCTAAAAAATGGTGTTCTGACGCAATTCAGTGTTTTCATACAGTTGTCTTCCAACGGGGCACCTCACCCAGTGAACATGAGCCCTTGTAGGGGCCTATAAGGATGACTTGGAGGGAAGGTCTATTACACTTTCGTTGGTGAGTCCGCGGTACTCCTCCTGCTTCGCCTGGTTCTAGGCGGCGCTATGACACGTCACTCGGGACGTGGCCGCGGCCGCGCGAACAGCGCGACGAGCGCGCCCACGCGCGCGCGCGCGGGAGACCCCCCGACTCCACTGGTCCTCCTCCTCCTCCTCCTCCTCCTCCTCCTCCTCCTGCTCCTCTTTGAGTTTATATGGGCTGGACCTCATCTCGTTCTCCTCCTCCTCCTCCTCCTCCTCCTCCTCCTCCTCCTCCTCCTTCTCCAACCCTTCCTTCTCCTCTCTTCCTCCACTCCTCCTCCTGTCCCCTGCCTCGTCCTCCTCCTCCTCCTCCTCCTCCTCCTCCTCCTCCTGAATCTTCTCCTCCTCCTTCCTCCTCCCCCCTCCCTCCCTCCCTCATCCCTCCTGGCTTCACAGTTCGACCTCAACGTTCTGCTGGGAATTTGGGCACAGACCTCTGCGCAGGGCGACGGCACGCGCGGGCCACGAGACGGAAACGAGCTGACAAGCACAGTTTGATGCACGCTCTCGTTCGGCGTTTCGCCAGGGCTGGACGCCGGTACGGAGTGACGTTGAAGCTGGAACGGCTAGGAACTCAGGCTGCGGGGCTCTATGGACATGAAATGTTTGGCACCTTCGGAGTCCGTTTGGAGCAGAGCAGGCGCCGACTTGGCGCGGTCCTTGCCGCGCCATCCAAAGGCAGGTGTCTAACCACGGCACTGGCCATCAAAGCACCGCACGACCCTGCCTACAATCTTCCCGAAAAGATGTTGCGGCAATGGTTCCGTGCTTGGCAAGAGGAACCACCCATACGCCCTGGGGTTAGTCTCGCGTGGTGAACCCTGGTGGAGAAGCTTCGGGCCATCTCCCCAGGGCAGCGCTCGCGGCACATCAGGGGACGAGTCCCTGCCGTCATCACGTTGTTGTTGAACAGTGGATGGGTCTGCGACGGCTACCGATCGGTTGCGGCCAGCGGCGACGCCTGGAGATGAATCGAGCGAGTGGCACTTCCCCGACACGGCGTGGACAGGTTGGCCAGACGTCGATGACCCAGGTTTGCTCATTCAGGACGTCCAACAATCCATCGGCAAGTCTTTGTGGTCACAGGCGTCGTCACATTGCTGCGGCGGTGGCATGAGGACGGTATCGATTGCATGTCCCTTCGTAGGCTTCATCGGCAACTGCAGTCGGTTGACCGTGGAGCACGCCTCGCAGAACTTTTGGTGACGATAGCTGCTGTAGTCTTCTGGACACGTACGAATCGAGCAGACCGGGCACCAGCAATTGTTCAGGTAGATCGGGATTGCACCCCGCTGTGGGGAGGAACAGGAAACACCTTTTCATCGTATGTGGAGCTGCAGCACGAACACAGGTGCGGCAGCTTCCAAATTCTCAGAATCACTTGTGAGCGAGGCCTTCTCCAGCTGGGAGGCCACGGAGTGCTTCTGGCTACGAGGGCTACTTCCTTCGGCACTGGTGAAGGTCCCACCGTTCTTTGCAGATGAGCGCTGGGACTGGTACGGACACGCTGCTGCCGACGACGGCTTCATCGGGAGTGGCTCTCGCCACAAATCGCTGCTCCTGTTCGGAGATGCCAGTGGCGGCGAGTTGTCCAGCTCGGCTTGGTATCGGCGAGTAGGCCTTGCGGTTGCTCATGTTTCGCAGTTCAATCCTGTCGTGATCGAGAGCGCTGTCCTAGGCGGGTTAGTCTGTGCTCGTCAGTCCGTGCCTAGGGGGAACTCCGCGCGCTGTTGCTGGCCGTTCAGAGGACTGCAGGCTGTGTGGTGTGCGCGACAGATAGTGGATATGTTGCCGAGGGTTGGGCTAACCCACAGTATGAGTCACCCTCGGGGCCAGACGCAGATTTGTGGCAGGAGATTAGCACGCAGTTCGGGGCCCATCGCGATCCAACCTCTGTTGGGGTGTTATTTGCCAACTCACATCTGGAGGCCCGCGAGGCGTTGCCTGGGAGATTCCCGATGTGGATGATCTTGGGCAATTATGTGGCGGACACCTTCGCAGGGGCCGCGGCTGCTGAATGTCAGATTGACAAACCGACGAGAGCGCGTGCAGGGATTTGGGAGCACAAAATATATGTTGTCAGGCTCCGTCTCCTCCGTGCCACGATGGGTACGCTTGAGGCAGAGAAACAGCTGGGATCGAGGGAACAAAAAAACGTGTGACCTGCCCTCGAGGAGGCGGCTTGGCGGGGCGCCCTCAAGGTTCGCCGGGAGGCCCGCCCTCGGGCGCCAAACTAATTAGGTGCACGCGGCCGGGCTGCGAGCCGCGCGCCTGGCTTTCCCCCCCCCCCGCTCCCTCCCTCCATACACCTCCTGCCTCTCTGCCACAGGGCTCCGCTGGATGGTAAAAAAAGTGTGGCCTGCCCTCCTCGTCCTCCTCCTACCCCTCGGTGGTCTAATTTTTGTTCGACCACCCGTTGCCTTGATGAAGCGGGGCGCCGTTGCACTCGGCGCTGTAGTTCCGCCACCCTTGCAAAAAGAGCCCTCTGGAAGGATACCCCGTGTTTTCACCCTGTTCACGCTGTTGGTGAGTGCTTCGGGGTCCCGTCTGGAGTAAAGCTGCACATTGCGGGGGGGGGTACGTCACACGCACTGCATGCGTTTACACGGCACGCTGAAGCTGTGGTTTTGTAGCCGGTGCGGCTGCTTCGCCAGTCAGATGCTCAAAGGTCTTGGGAACGAACGCCTCAGGACCCCGAACTCCTGCCGATCGGAGTACCTGTCCCGCATTGCCGATGGACGGTGGCCCAAAATACTCAGCAGAGCAGAGAAGGCTCGCATGGGGCTCGTAATTAAGGCGCACTTCGCGTCGCGAATGGAGTTGAACTCGAACTCCTTCCTCCTCCCTCGTCCCTCCTCCCTCGTCCCTCGTCCCTCCTCCCTCGTCCCTCGTCCCTCGTCCCTCCCCTCTCGACCCTCCTCCCTCCTCCCTCCTCCCTCCTCCCTCCTCCCTCGTCCCTCCTCCCTCGTCCCACCTCCCTCCTCCCACCTCCCTCCTCCTTCCTCCCTCTTCCCTCCCCCCTCCCCCCTCCCCTCTTCTCCCTCCGCCCTCCGCCCTCCTCCCTCCTCCTCCTCTTTCTTCTCCTTCTTCTCCTTCGTCTCCTTCTTCTCGTTTTTCTCATCCTCCTCCTCCTTTTCCTTCTTCTCCTTCTTCTCCTTCTTCTCCTCCTTCTCCTCCTTCTCCTCTTCCCTCCTCCCTCCCTCCTCCTCCTCCCTCCTCCCTCCTCCCTCCTCCTCCTCCCTCCTCCCTCCTCCCTCCTCCCTCCTCCCTCCTCCCTCCTCCTCCCTCCCTCCTGCCTCCTCCTCCTTATCCTCATCCTCCTCCTTCTCCTACTCCTCTCCTTGTCCCTGTATACAGATGTTCTCCATGTCACACCCCGAGGCCGATCGAAAGAGCGGGCGAGGCGTTTCGCTGGAGACTTCCTCGCTAGTCTGACCCTGGAGATCAAACGTTGGCACAGCTTCACATTTTGATGGCGGGTCGTTTTCAAAATGTGGCCCCTCGCCTCAGCGAAGAGCATATCCGTTTAGTAATTACAAGAGCTTCACGAGTTCAAGGCGGGTATTGTCAAACTGTGGCTCTCGCCTTAGCGCCGCGCGCATTCAAACGACACATGTGCGAGAGCTTCACGGATTGAGGGCGGGTGATTTTCAATACGTGGCTCTCGCCTTAGCGCCGCGCGCTTCCGTTGCACATAGTTGCAATAGTCTCACGGTTGCGGGCGGGTAGTTTTCAAAATGCGGCTCCCGCCTTAGTGCCGCACACATTCGCCGTAAACATTTGCAAAAGTTCACAGATTGAGGGCGGGTTGTATTCAAAATGTGGCTCTCGCCTTAGCACCGCGCACAATCATTCTAGAACTGTGCAAAGGGTTTCACGGATTGAGGGCGGGTGGTTTTCAAAATGAGGCTCCCGCCTTAGCGCCGCGCTTTTTCATTTTGAAACTTTGAAGGAGTTTCACGGTCCGAGGGCGGGTGGTTTTCAAAATGTTGTTTTCGCCTCAGCACCGCGCGCATTCGTTTTAACATTTACAAGAGTTTCACGGATTGAGGGCGGGTAGTTTTCAAAATGTGGCTCTCGCCCCAGCGCCGCGCACATTCGGTTTAATCATTTGCAAGAGATTCACATTTCGAGGGCGGGTCCAACATGTGGCTCTCGCCATAGCGTCTGGCACATTCCTTTGTTTCAAACATTGCAACAATGTCATGGATGTCCATTGCCATCGTACCAAGAAGGGAGTGTTAGAAAAATGCCGGATTTTGATGGTGCAACAATTAATTTGCTTCGCGGTGCTGAAGTCATAAGAATGGCAATCTGGCGCGATTCAGGTTGATCCGTGGCGTTAGTCCCGAGAACAATGTTGTGGCACGCGTCAGGATCCTCAAACAGTTGTGCAGTTCCCAAAATGGAAACGATACGTAAAAGGGCCCATGAAGAGGGAGCTTGGAAGGAGGGTTGATTCCAACATCTATGATGACTTTTGGGTTTACACTGGTTCGCCTCCTCCCCCTCTTCTCCTCCTCCTCCTCCTCCGCCTCACCCTCCCTCCCTTCCTCCGGACCTCCGCTCGCGCCCGCGGCAGGCCCCGCCCGAGCCCCGTGCTCGGCGGAGCGCGCGGAGGCGAGCGCGGAGTCAAGCGAGTCGATGGAGCACTTGGAGTCGCGCCTCGACCCGTCGGAGGTGGCGGCCGGCCGCCCCCTCCCACTCCTACTCTCACTCTCCCGCCCGCTCCCCCTCCCACTCCCCCTGCCCCTGCCACTCCTCCTCCTCCTCCTCCTCCTCCCTCCTCCCCCTCCTGTTCCTCCTCCTCCTCCTTTTCCTCCTCCTCCTCCTCCTTCTCCTCCCCCTCCTCCTCCTCCTCCTCCTCCTCCTGCTCCTCCTCCTCCTCCTCCTTCTCCTCCTCCGCCTCCTGCTCCTCCTTCTCCCCCTCCCCCTCCCCCTCCGCCTCCTCGACACTGACACAACATAAGTACTACCCTCCTCGCCTCCACTGAAGACGGCGGTGAGGTGTCCTGGCCTCCCCCGCGTATTGTTCTTTACACACAGGATCCCGCCGACCTGGTGAGTAGTAGATGTTTTTCCCATCCGAACGTTTTCAATCCTTTAGCAGACTGCGCTCCCGCTACAGCGTTGGCTCCATTGCCCCATTCTCGGTCCTTCCAATTCATGTTCCCGCTGTACCGCTGACCTCATTTCATTGTTTCGGCTCTTCGGAGTCGTGCTCCTGCTGAAGCGTTAGTTCGATTCTGCGCTTCCAATCCTTCTCAATCGGTCTCTCACTGCAGCGCTGGTCTCATGTTGCGCTTCCCGCTTTCCAAACCATGCATTTGCATTTCCCGTCATGTGCCATGTTTGCTTTCCCTCCGACCTTGTTGTCGACACGAGGCGCGTTGTCGGCGCGATGCCATGCTACGCCCAGCTACACCATGCATCGCGCACTCTCGCGGGATCATTGCCCTGTTCGGCAGCCCACTGTGCGAATAAAGAGGATATCTACGCAATTGTAAAGGATGCGAGGGAGGGTGGGGCGTCAGATATGACGCTTGCGCACCTAGCTTGTCCGTCTCCTCCTCTCCCTCCTCCTTCCCCTCCTCCCCCTACTCCCCCCTCTTCCTCCTCTTCCTCCTTCTCCTCCTCTCCCTCCGACTCTTCCTCCTCCTCCTCCGCCTCCTCCAACTCCTCTTCCTATTCCTCTTCTTCCTCCTCCTGCTCCTCGTCCTCCTCCTCCTCCCTTCCTGCTCGTCTCGGTTCCCCCTCCTCTCCCCCCCCTCCCCCCTCCCCTCCTCCTCCTCCTCCTCCTCCTGCTGCTCCTCCTCCTCCTCCTCCTCCTTCTCTACGTTCTTTCGGCAGATCAGACAGGCCGCCGAGAGCGTCCCGAAGGCACTCGACCGGGCCTGCTTGAAGTCCGTCGAGGACAGGAAGCACGTCTGCTTCAACGGCGATCGTCGCTGGGCCACCCAACTTCGAGCAGCGCGCCCTCGCGAGGCGCGCCGCGCGACCATTCTTCCCAAAGTCTGCTATATAGCAAAGAGAGGTCTGGGCGATAACGGCCGTGATCTGATCGACCCCGATACGAAAAACCACAAGTGGCCATGCTGGACATTCCTAATTAATTCTTGGACAGAGAACTGTTAAGGAATGACCATCATTACCACTTATGTTTTCGCGAAAGAATTCCCGTCCTCACCAAAAACGAGGCCCCCCTTTATGCCCGCAAGGACCACTGCCGGTGGCGCCAAAACAGGTCTGGTTCATCGCATCGGGGTTGGATGTAATGCAACGATGATCGGCCTTCTCCCTCTCTCCACCCCCTGGACCACGCCACGCTAGTTTGCCTACACTTAAAACAGATGTCCCACGGATTCTCCGAGGTTTGCCTGCGATGTCCAGCGGCTCCTCGCCGTGGTGTGCTCCGGGGGGGGGGGGGCGAACTCCCCCCGCCCCCCTCTCCTTCCCCCGATCACGCCCGCCATCGCGAATAATGGGAAAACAGGCCCTGATGTTTTCAACATAGGCTTGGACGGGCCCAGGGGCTGGCGAGGGCCTCATGGGGCAGGAAACGGCCCAGATCATCATGTCGTGTTTTTCGCCATCGCTCGAACGTCCGTTCCCCGTGCATGTTTCGATGCCGTGCGTGCATTTTTGTTCTCCCCCAAGATGATCCAGGATGCTCCTCAATGGTCGTCGCAAAGAACAAATACACACGTCCGAGCTATGCCAAGGAGCACGTCTGGGTTGCGCCTTCGCGCCGCACCCCGCAAGAGGCAGGGCAGCAACTCTGGCTCGGCTCCCGGGCCATACCTCGTGCGCCTCGGGCGGCAGCTCGGCGACGCGACATCCTGAGGTGCCCGGAGGGCTCTCGACGAGGGGCAGCTAATGGAAAACATGGCCTGAGGTCCTGGCATTTGAGAGGCAACTGATGGGAGAGATGTTCGTCGGAAGGACTCGGGAGAATGGAGTTCCATCTGGGGGCTGCTACGCCGGAGTGGGCCGCGGACTATATAAGCGGGATTAAGCCAGATGAATTGGGATCAGGCCGGATTGAGCAGGATCAAGCTGGATTAAGACGGGCTTCGGGCCAGGGCAAAGTCAGAATTTGACCTCCCAGGAGTTGCATCCCCAGACATGCGACGTCCTGATTTTTTCAGGACGGCGTCCCCAGAAGTCCAGACCCGCTCCCCAGGACCGGTTTTTCGTCCGGAGTCATTTTTTGACGGTTCCAAGGCCCAGCGGGGGCCCCGAGGAGCCGGTGAGCATTTTTCTATTCTGGGTTCCGGCTTTAGGCGCATGGGGGGGAGGGGGGGGGGTCCGGCTCTCGGCCCGTAGTCAATGCCTCCGATTGAATCATGTGGGGAATCCTGTGGGAGATGCCGATGAGGGAATCCTAGGGGAGACCCCCCATGGGGGAATCGCGCAGCGGCTGCGCGGGGCTGCGCCAAGGCTATGCGTGATTTGGCAAGCCTGTGCCAGAATTGCTAGGGATCACCTATTCATGATTCCACGAGGCCGTCGCTGGCATAACAGGGGAGGGCCCAGCCGGAGGCATGCTTTCTGGCGATCGGGTCTGGCGCCCCTGAGCCCTTTCGTTGTGGTTTCAGAAGAGTAGCACGATAAAATGCGCACAGTTGCACACATCAGCGATTCGAGTTTCTACCGGGGGAGGGGGGGGGGGGCGCCGGCCCCTGTAGTTCGTCCGATCGATTGAAGCAGGTGCCAAAATCAGCCCGGAACTTCTCTACGGGGGGGGGGGAGGGGGGGGGGAGGGGCGTTCCGCCAAAAGCAAAAACAAATAATAAAAGAATGCTCACCCGAAACATGAAAAAACTTGCCGTCCTGATTCTTTTAACGACGCGAGCATGTCTGGGTCCGAAACGCACGGTAACTTTTACACCGCCTGCGCGCCGTGGGGATCTGCCAGGCTTCCGATTTCTCGTGCGTGCTGCTCGCGCTGCTTCCCGTCGTGCTGCGCCTGCCGCACTTTGATTTTGCCGTTGGTGCGGGGGCCTGTTGATACAGATGGTCGGCTGGACCATGGGTGATGAGCGCGCAACGCCGTTTCCTCCGGTCTCCCTGGCCTCAGGTCGGGAAATGTCCCCCTACAGGTCGATTTTGGGTGTAAAACAAAAGATAATCAAGACATATCAAAAAATAGGCACCAAAAAAAGTCGTCCCCAGACTACGTTCCACTATTTCTGAGATTTTTTGAGTATTCCTCCTGTAGGTAGGCAGGCCAGACTTAGAACCATGGGTGATGCACGCGCAACGCCTTTTCCTCCCGTCTCCCTGGCCTCCTCCTCCTCCTCCTCCTCCTCCTCCTCCTCCTCCTCCTCTTCCTTCTCTACTTCTTCGGCGGCCGTCACATTTGAGGTTCAGGGTTTCGACTCAAGGTCATCCGTCGGCTTGGCCTTCGGCCCATACTTTGTGCCCCAAGCGGCCATTCGGGGCGGTCCGCAGATCCCTGGAAAGAATCTCCACGAGGAGCAGGTGGTGGAATCACACATCCTCGGGTCTGAAAGCCTCCAGAAGCCGTGCACAAATGAACTGAAAGCTCTCCGAGCAAGGAAGATGAATACCCATGAGATCCGACGTTGCGAACACACATGCGGCCTCACGAAACATCATTACGGGAGCCCTCGACCTCGTCATTCTGAAAAACTTTCCAAGCCGCGACATCGATCTGTGATGGCCTCGGGGCTCCGAACGCAGAAAAGTCCGGAATGAAAAACATGCAACGCCTAAATAGCGGGGCAAAGCCTCCCGGGAATCGCCTCCCGACCTCCGGGGCCAGAACGCGCGCGGCGATCCGCGGCCGCCCTGGCCCGGGAGGGAAGGGCCCAGCAGAAACTTCAAAGCCGCAAGGTAGGGCCTCGAGTCAGGCCTCAGAAGGGCCGAACACCACAGGAAACAATCAGCCTGGCGAAAGACCCAACCCTATGCAATTGTGAGTTCCGCAGTTGTGGGTATCGTCTTCGGTTGAGCTCCCTATGGGCCACGAAACGCTGTACTGTATGGGGAGACGCCTGCGTACTTTGCCACTGGGGCCTTCGGTGGAGCTCCATATGGGCCCGCATGCGGAAAGTGCCACCGGGCATTCGGTGGAGCTCCGTACAAGGCAACGAAGCGCCGTACTGGGTAAAGGAAACGCATGCCACTGGGGCCGTCGGTGGAGCTGGAGCTCCATATGGGGCCAAGAAGTGTTCGAGGGGTGTGCCGACATGGGTGGCGCGGACGCGTGAGGGCACCGCCACTGGGGCTTTCGGTGGAGCTCCCTATGGGGCCACGAAACGTGTGAGGGGTGTGCCGACATGTGTGGCGCGCGCGCATGTGGGTACCGCCACTGGGACTGTCGGTGGAGCTCCCTGTGGGGCCACGAAGCGTACGACGGGTGTGCCGAAATGGGTGGCGCGGACGCATGTGGGCACCGCCACTGGGGCCTTCGGTGAAGCTCCTTGTGGGGCCAACATGCGTGCGAGCGGTGTGCCGAAATTGGTAGCGCAGACGTGTGTTGGCACCGCCACTGGGGTCTTAGGTGGAGCTCCCTGTGGGGCCACGAAACGTGAGGGGTGTGCCGGCATGGGTGGCGCGGACGCGTGTGGGCACCGCCACTGTGGCCTGCGGTGGAGCTCCCTATGGGGCCGCGGAGCGTGTGAGAAGTGTGCTGAAAC